GTCTTTAGGGGTTTTACAAGTAATTATTAACCCTTTGTGGCATTCCTGGGAAAGAACCTTGGGGCCGAAGGAACCTACCACAATTTTCCATCTTCGGTACAAAATGAACTCTCATTGTTTTAGAGTTAAAATTCAGTAACACCTACAAAATAAGTCTTAGCTATATGTGGCCCTAAACAACTCATAACACCCCTGTAGCTTTTATTACAAAGGTGTGTATATGTGTGTGTGTGGTGTATATGTATGTGTGTTTAGGTGCATGCTCCCATGAACATGCAAAGGGAGGCCAAAGGAGGATGTTAGGTGACATATTCTATCAGTCTCCACCTCATTCCCTTGAGATAGGGGCCTACACTGAACTTGGAGATAGTTCAGCAGGCAGCAAGCCTCAGAAATTGCCTGTCTCCACCCCCTAGCCCCAGTTCTGGGGCTGCAGGCACACACAGTCATGCACTGCTTTTTATATGGATGCTGGGGATTTGAACTCAGGTCCTCATGCTTGCACAGCAAATGCTCTTACCCACTAAGCCATATCCCCAGTTCAAAATAGATGATTTCTTGGAGTTGCAGAGATGGCTCAGCAGTTAAGAGCAATAGCTGCTGCTGCAGAGGACCCCGATTTGGTTCCCAGCACATACATGGCAACTAACAACCATCTGTAACTCCCATTCCAGGGGATCTTGCCTTCTTCTGACCTTGGTGGGCATTACGGACTCATACACTGCATAATACAGGTGCACTTACATACGTACACTCATTACACTCAAACACAAAAAATAAAAGTAATAAAATATTTAAAAGCAAAATCGATAATTTCTTAACACTCTTGGAACTCAGAAGGAATTATCCTTCTTTGCCATTTGAGAAAACTAAGGCTTAAAGAAAGAAATGACTGGACAAAGGTTCCTAGTAACAAGGCTGGCTAGGTCTTCTGAATGCTGCCCGGGCACTTTTTTTTAAAGTGCAAAACTGGTACCTTGTGTACAAGGCAAGGGTTCTACCAGTGAGCTACACTCCCCAAGCCTCCATGCTCTTTTAGTGTACAAGCATAATGTAAGTTCTCTTCTAACAGTAAGAAGGCACTTACCAATCTCAACATTCTCCCATAATTCAGACCCCTGCAACTTGGACTGTTAATGAGTCCCTGCTTTCCTGGTTTTTATGTTATTTTTACTGTGTGTGTGTGTGTGTGTGTGTGTGTGTGTGTGTGTGTGTGTGTGTAGGGGTATGCTAGTGCTACGACACTTGGGTGAAGCAGAGGACAACTTTGTGGAGTCAGCTCTTTCCTTCCACTTTTACGTGGCTTCTGGGATTCGAACTCAGGTTGTTAGGCTTGTGCAGCAGGTGCTTTTTTTTTTTTCTTTTAACCTGCTGAGCAGTCTTGCTGGCCCTTTCCTGTTGTATTGTCATGTGCTTCTCTCTGTAGTTCTTGGTATTTGGGGTTCTCTAGCAATGGGTTTAGCGTGGCATATTGCTGAGGCTTCTGGATGCAAGGAAGCTGTAGTGAGTCTCAGGAGGGTTTGGTCTCTGCTAAGTTAAAAGAAACTGGAAAATCTAAAAAGCCTGTGTGACTGGCTCAGGGAATAAGCATTTAAAAACACAAAAAGAGGGCTGAGGGTTTAGCCTAGTTGGTAGAGTGCTTGCCTAGCATGCTCAAAACCCTGGGTTCCACCTCTAGCACCAAATAAAACTAGGGGTGGCGGCACATGCCTGTAATCCCAGCACTCAGGAAGTAGAGGCAGGAGGATTAGGAGTTCAAGGTCATCCTCTGTTACATAGCAAGATCCAGCCCAGCATGGACTGGGCTACCTGAGACTCTGTCTCACAAAACCAAAAGCAAAGAAAACAAAACAAAGCAAAACAAACACCCTGAAAGCAATGGATTAAAATGAGGCTTTAGAGGCTCCAAATAAACGGCTACTCTATACTGAAAGAACCTGTGTTTGTCTTCTAACAGGAACAGAGATTTCCTTTGGAAGTTACCCTTGGTATTATCCTCTTAGAAGAAAGTATTCTCTCCTAAACTGGGTATCTTCATCCTCCAAGCCCACACTCTGGTTGCAATCACACGCAGGTTGCTAGTATGTGGGCAGACTTCCATACTTGGTGGGAGGAGCAGACATGACTTCATGCTGTACTGTAGACGAGAGGAACTGCCAAGGCTCAGGCGCCCCCGTCCCCCCAAGACTCTCTCAGTTTGGAATCCTCTTCTCGGGCTGTGTGGTAACCAGACCACAGGGGATGCTTTCCATTTGTGGGCAAATTACCTTTCGGATTCCCAAATCCTATCCTCCAGAACTCTGGGATTCCCAAAGTGCATCTCACGGGTACACCCCCAAGCATTTGAAAAACACTTTGTAAATAGTCATCATGGGACCAACCTGAAAGATAATCTTAGGTCAGAGTTTCAAGAAGTTTAATCAGTTTCCTTTATTATGTGGTTTGATTTTTGTGTGTGTGTGACAATTTTGTTTAAGGAAGTGCCTTAAGTATTCTGAATTAAATTACTCTTTTGTTATAAAAATTTTTAATTAGATTTATTTATGTACTGTGTGTGTATATGTATGTGTGTGTGGGCAGGCATGTGGAGGCCAGAGGACAACCTGTAGGAGTCAGTTCTCTCCTTCCACTATGTGGGTCCTAGGGATCAAATCCAGGTCATCAGGCTCTGTGGCAAGTGTATTAATCCACTGATACATTTCATTGGCTTAAATTCCTTCTTGTCCCAGCACTTGGGAGGCTGAGGCAGAAGGATTGCTGCAAGTTTGATGCTAGTTTGGGCTACATAGTAAGATCCTGTCTTAAAGGGGGAAAAAAAAATGAAGGTTGGAGAGATGGTAGTGTACCCAACTTTGGTTCCCAGCACCCATGTCTGGTGGCTCACAACTGTCTATAACTCCAGTTCCAGCAGGATCAGTGCCACTGGCTTCCTTGGGTACCCGCATACACACGCACATTCCACAACTCCTGCACACATACACAAAATTAAAAATTAAATTTTTATTTATTTATTTTGGTCTTTTTGAGACAGGGTCTCCCTGTAGCCCCAGCTGGCCTGGAACTCACTTTGTAGACCAGGCTGGCCTTGAACTCACAGAGATCTGCCTGCCTCTGCCTCCCAAGTGCTGGGACTACAGGCGTGCACCACCACACCCAGCAAAAATTAAATATTTTTAAAAAAATGTACTCTTTCTGTGTTCTTGGTCTTGAAAAACTTAAACATCAAGATAGATGACTTCTTAATTTGGAGATCTTTTATATTCTAACCCCCTTCCTCCTCCTCCTCCTCCTCCCCCTCTTATTCTCCCCTCCCAAAGGCACAAAGACAAAGAGATCTGTTTCTCCTTGTCCAGATGGAAAGTATATGTTTATGTGGATAGCAAATGAAGCACACAAGTTCCCACAACCTTTAGAGCAGTCCATGGGATGGGTCAGGCCCAGCATTTTCATAATGTTTCTTAGAAATCATGTTTTACACACATTTGAACACTGCTTCTGCACAACTTCAGATACCTGGAAAACAATGAGAGAGAAAGGAGACACCCTTTATCTGACAACATAATGAATGGGAAGAAAGGGAGGGGCGAGAATGAGATCCAGGTAGGGATAAAGAGAGAGGCAAACAAAGCTGGGTGTGGTGCCACACACCTGTAATTCCAGTATTTGGGGGGCTGAAAACAGGAAGATCACAAGTTTCGGGGAAGTCTGGGCAACACAGGGAGACCCTGCCTCACCTGACTACCAAGCTCAGGCCCAATTTCACTTAAAAAGATGACTTTATAGCTGAGGGAAAGTCACATTTAGTCTCAAAGCAAATCCCTAGAATGTGTCAAATATGGAGTAAAACCCTTTAACTGTTTCCTTTTCTCTTCTTGAGGAACATCTCTTTTACTTCATTTCCATAAAACACAAGTCAGATTTAATGTGCGGGGACAAATGTTTTTCAACAGACTGGAGCTGCTTAGTTTTCCTGACAATGTGTGTAGTTAAGTTAGGAATTTGGGAAGGGATATGAGACACCAGTAAGTCAAAATACCCAGAGGTGTAGCTATACATTACAGTGCTAATCTTCCTCTTTTTTCATGGTGCTTGTGTGTATGTGTGTGTATGTGTGTTCTCGACCATCAGTCCGTGCACTATTTCTTCACTTGGCTACTATTAATTCATTCTGACCTCTAAGAGGCAAACTTTATTTCTCCTTTTACTGTCTCTTTAAGAGTACTCTATAGATGGTTTCTTGAAAACTGTCTTTGAAGAGTTCTGATTTTCAAAAACAAAAACACAACTCACAATACAGCAACCCCTTTGTTAGTACCTTTGTCGGACGTTCTTTCTTTTTTTTCCCTTTTTTTTCCAGAAGTACCCTTCAACTAACTAGAGGGGGTGTGTTTCTTTGAGATTAGGTTTCTGCAGTACACATTCATTTTGGTAATCAAGGACACATTGCAGGATTTAAGATGTGAAGAACCAGCTCTGAGCAGAAATGAACTGCAGGCTGTGCGATGAGAAAATAATTTAGAAACTTGTGAAGTTTAAAATCTTTTCTTCTCCTGGAAGGCACTTGAAAAAAATGGGTGCGTGCTTCCCGTAAACCCGCGGTGTTGTCTGTAGTCTGGGGAGGCAGGAACTAACCCTACCACCAAACAGCTCCAAAACACCCAACTTTCTCTCCTCCCCTAGGCTCAGTGGGCCGATCCCAGGGCCTCCACTCTACAGCTCTGGCGCACTATCGCCGACCGGTGCGTCCCCTTTAAGAGGCGGAGGCGTTCCCTTTCTTTTCCCCGCCCAGTGCCCCCCTTCACACCTTGGGTGGGAAAAGAGAGTGGGGACCTGGTGTGCGGCCAGGCTGCGGGGGGAGGGACTAAGCTAGCGCTCCAATGGCCTTTGAGGCTGACCGCTGTGGATCCCAGAAGCCAATCATCAGGGGCGAGGGCGTGGCCAACGCTGTTGCAAAGCATCCAACGTGGGACCACAGGCGGCCCGGGGTCCGGGCCATGAGGGTGTGTGAAAGGGAGCAGCTGGGGGCGGGGCCTGGGGAGGCTCGCGGAGGATTGTTCGGCTGAGAGGTCGGCTGGGCTCTGGCTGCGCGGAGACACGGTGAGGAGCCGGACGCTGCCCGCGCGTGCGCTCCGCTCGGGGCGCGGGGACTGCGAGGCGCACGAGGGTCTACTGCTCGAGGCCCGCGGCCCACAGGAGGATGCCCACGGGCGCCGGGAGCAGGCTGCGAGGCTGAGCGCTCCGGTCCCTCGTCGACTGCTGCTCTCGGTGTGCGTCCGGGCAGGGAAGGCGACGGAGCGCGGCGGGAAGGACGGAGCAGCCGCGGCCCGGAACTCGCTGCGGGGAACCGCGAGCTGCGCCGCGCTCGGGCGGCCCGGCCCGGATGGGCGCGGAGTTGGCGGCTCCCGCCGGGCGCCGCGGAGCGACCCGGGTACTGTGGACCGGCTGAGCGCCGAGGCCGCCGAGGACCACTGGGGCCGGGCGTTTATGCCCCGGCCCGGAGGCTAGCGCCGCGCGCAGCCCGCCTGCAGCCGCCCGGGACCTCGCTAGCGCCCGCGCACCGACTTCGCGGCGCGCTCCAGACAAGATGGCGCGGCCGGTCCCGGGAGCGCTCCGGGACCCGCGCCGCTCGCCTCGTCTCCTGCTCTGGCTGTTGCTGCTGCTGTTGCTGCGGCTTCAGGCCGCCACCGCCGAGGCCGGCCCACGGGCGCCCTGCGCCGCTGCCTGCACTTGCTCCGGGGACTCGCTGGACTGCGGCGGGCGCGGGCTGGCGACGTTGCCCCGGGACCTGCCCGCTTGGACGCGGAGCCTGTAAGTGTCGCCCTGGCCGCGTCCCCGGGCGCTGTCATTGGGACCCGGCTTTTGGGGGTGCTCATCCCGGAAGGGGTGCGCGGTGGGGCCCTGTGGAATGGGAGTGAGGTGGGTGGCGGAGGGGAGACCGCGCGTGAGGACTGTGCCTCTGGGGGCTGAAGATGAGCGCGCTTGGGTCGCGAGCGTCTGGGGTGAGCGCGTGGACCTCGTGGGGCTCGGGGTGGCAGTGCGTGTTTGTCGTTGTGGTCAGGGCATGAGCGATCGTGGGTGATTGAGTGCATCGTGGGGCGTGGAGGCGAACCACGGGTTTGTGAATAGGTGAGCGAGTGCTGGCGGGCGCGGTGTGCGTGTGCGTTGGGGTGATGATGAGTAAAGAGGGGAGGTGAGCGGATCGGTATGCATGGCAGATGCTGGCAGACAGAATGAGGGAGTCCATGCAGGGGTCTGTGTAGGTGTGTTTCTTTTTGCCTCTGCTGTAACCCAACTCTTCGGTGTCTGAGCGCCTTGGACTTCCAGTGGATAGTGAATGAAGGTGACTCGACTCCAGCGTTCTCCTTGCATTATTTATTAGTATGTGTAGCTGCCTCCTGATCCCATGGTGGCCTGACTTGGCACTGGCCAGGGCAAAAGGGACCCTTCCCCGGAGGATCCAGGAGTGAGGGCACTTGGGAGAGTTCGTGGAGATTTCTGAGTGTGACTGTTTGCTCTTTCCCGCCTGGTTGGCATATTGAAGAACTCTGTTCTAGATCTTTAACTGTCTGTTCCCTGGGGCCCCGTGGGCTTGATGATACACTGGGGTGGGCTTGATGATCCACTGGAGTGGGGCCCACCCTCGAGTTTCTCCTCCATAAATGGTGCAAGTTAGTTGTGCCAGTAGGGCTGCCTCCGCAGAGGCTGCCAGGGGGCTTGGCTGGCGCTAGCAGTCTGTTTCACCCCAAGAGGTGCTTTTCTGTGCTGTCAGGATTGGGCCTATCTGGAGCTAGTGGATACCTCTTACAGGGGATTTGGCAGGAACCAGAAGACATTAAATTTCTGTAAACATAGTGGAATAGAATAGCTTCGTTAGATTCTAAAATCTCAGGCGCACTAGTCGAATCCTGGCCAGTAATCAGTAATTAACATCTCCAGAACTATTAGTACCTTCCAGAAATGGCCAGGGTTGAGTAGTCAGCATAGCACTTGAGCAGTTGAGCGTCTTTCCTAGAACACAGAAGAAGCACAGCTCTAATCTTAGGTATGACATTTGCTGGTTTAAAAAGAGAAAATCGGCGTCACAGGTTTTAGCCTCCACCTGTGGCTTGGTTGCAGAAAGTAGGGCCTGAGTTGGCTGTAGTGAGGGGAGTTGATTCACAAAAGGTTCCTGTATTTCTCAGAATGGGGCATGGGTCTTTAAATTGATCTGTTGGACAAGCTGTGGTATGAGTTCTGAAGCTGGCTGGACCCTTTCTTTAGCTTTAATTTTCTCTTCAGTATCTGCTTCCTTTTCCAAATTCACCGACCTAGTGAGAATGCATGGTCTTGGGGTGAGTTTTAACACAGGGGCTGGCTCTGCTAGTTACTGGGAGATGGGTCCACTATTGCTCTTTGCTGGGATTTTATATATTAATTGTTGGGGCCACCTGGGGGGGTGAGTTTTCCTTTTCATATTTAAGGTCGATATATATATATATATGTGTGTGTGTGTATGTATGTATGTATCTGTGTGTGTGTGTATATGCACGTGGACAAAATCAGGATAACTTCTCAAATGTTCACCTATTGGAACAGTGACTGGCAAAGCCAGTGGCATTGTGGAGAAGGCACTTAGTTCTTAGGCCATAACTATTGGAAGAGGATAGACTATTCCTATTTGCACTGTCCTGTGGTTACAGGACCCCCTTTGCTGTGCCGTTTTTTGGAGCAGAACATGCTAGTCATTTTTAGACTTTCGGTTCTCTACAAGTGACACTTCATACAGCCTAAATACCGTTAAAATTGCAGTCTCTTGTACTCACCAACCTAGGTATTTTGGGCTTCAGATTTGACTCAGCTGAGGATTGCATTAACATTCAATTTTAAGATTCAAGCAGAGTGATTTCTGGTTAATATGTGGTAACACAGTGTATGAATAAAATGAATATCATTTGAAAAAATACTTAGGAGTTTGTTTTATTTCTACTTAAAGTGAAATCAAGTATGATTTCTCTCCTAACACTTAGATCTCAAAAAAATTTTTTTTTTTTTTTTTTTTTTTTTTTCTGATACTTACTAGGGGTTGAACCCAAGTCCTGGAGCACTCTAGGCAAGCATGCTTCTCTGAGCTGTATCTTGAATCCCGGAGCTCTCAATTTAAACCAGTGGTTTTATCCTAAAATTTCCGTAAAGATACTCATACACCATATATTCTTGGTTATGATTTTGGCAGAAGTGGAGAAGATCGCTCTATAATAAAATACCTTGTATTTTCACTGAGTTTATACCCTCTAAGTCCATTGTCTAGAAAATGCTTTGAGCTAGTTTATAAGCCTGGGAAGTAGATTTACTGCAGCCAGTTCAAACAGTTTCAGGCTGTGGGTTTGAGATAGGGTTTTAGACCTGTGGCTTTATGGGACACCCTCCCTCCTTTGTAAACAGTGCAACTAATTTTGGAGTTGCTTTTAGGCCTAGCATAGAGAAAGTAAAACTTTTTCATAGTAAAATGTAGTGTGGCTAGAAAAATCAGGCTGGTGTCCCTAGAGGGGAAAATAAGTTCCTTTCTAGGGCTGAGGATAACTTATTCTGCTGTTACTTATGGTAGTGGAGCTGTAACTGTCTCCCATCCCATTACGTAGGGGAGCTTGGCATGGTCCAACCACAACATTCATAAATAGCACCAAACATTGCCAAACCTATTCCAGCTTCCCAGAACCTTACAAGAAGTTGAACTTCTTAGAACTCACATGTTTGCTTTCTTTGAAATTATTTTTGAGAAGCTCAGAAACTGTTTAGGAAATAATAAAATTTGCCTTAGACTCTTACCTGTCTAAATTTGTACAGTGTAGTTACAAAATATTGCTGGCTTTAACATTCTGAGAGGTAACTGATGGCCTGTTGGGAGTGGGAAGCAGGAAGCCCTGGGAAGAAGGACAATTCCAGATTGTTGTTCATTGTGGAGGGAAGGTAACAGGGATTCAAAAGCGGGGCACTTACGAAAGAACACCAAATGTCTGCATCCTGAGCCCGATTAATAGGAGTTTATCAGCTTGAGTCTCTGATATTGTGTTTGTGATGTCAGATTGAGAGGCTCAGAATCTAGCCTTGCTGGTTTGAGCACATTAAGAGGTGGTTATGATTATGTCAGGAAACACACTCTGGGGTTGTCATTGTATAATTGGGAAGCAAAGAGAACCTTTGTCTTTCAGATTTTACAGCTGTGCTTTGAGGCCAGGTGTTCAGGGTGTTGTGAATTAAGGTTCTGGAAATTACTTTCCATCCTGTTTAAGCAAATGAGATGACCAGATCCTTCTAGAACCTAAACTTCAATGTGCACACACTTAAAACTCGCTTTATAGCTCTTAAGTCCCTTCTTCTCTTTTTACTTTTGTCTCATATCACTTATTTAAGCTCAACAGACCTTGAACTTGTTTCAGTTTGGGAGCTGGAGGTTGTTTGAAATAAGATAATTTATTTTGTGGTGTTGGTGTTGGGGATCCAAACCTACGGCCTGGGGCATGCTAAACAGAGTGCTTTCCTACTGACCTACCCAGCCCTACTAATCTTTAAAATATGGGGTCGTGGCAGAGAAAAGTGTGAAAGTCTAGTGCTTTCAGGGCTTTAGGGAGCTTAGTTTGAGTCCCAAATCCCTTTCTTTTCAGCAGGTTGAAGGCTTGCCTTCCACATTTTGATGGAGAACATAACTGCTAGTACTTATTATTAATACCTTTTTTGAGTAAGAGGAAGTTTCTGGCAAACACTATTGATTATCTGAGGAAATAATACTGATTACCTTGAAAGGCATTTAAGTCCTGCTATAATTACTACTATAAAATCTAAGTTTGAATGCTATGAAATTAGAAAGTGTCAAGACCCCCCCCATATGTATTAGCATACAGTGTTTCTCTTGTCTTTAGGATGTCAGAACTACCCCCCCCCCCTTCTTCCAGCAGGGTCTTACTTTGTAGCTCAGTCTGACCTGGAAATCACTGTGTAGCCCATACTATGTTGGCCTTTAAATTTGTGTCCTCCTTTTTTTTTCCCTAAAGATTTAATGTCTAAAAAATATTAAAAAAAATTTTTTTGTGTGTATGAGTATATTGCCTGCATATGTGTAAGTACACCCATGTCCTGCAATGCCTGTGGAGGTCAGAAGAAGGCGTTGGATTTTCCTGGAATTGGAGTTACACATGGTTATTAGCTGCCATGTGGATGCTGAATATCGAACCCAGGTCCTCTGCAAGAGCGGACAGTGCTCTTAACCGCTGAGCCATCTCTCTAGCCCCAAGATTTAATTCTTAAATTGTGTGTCTTTTTTTATGTATGAGTGGGTTTGTGCACATGAGTGCATGTGCCTCTGGAGACTGGAAGAGGGCATCATATCCCCTGGAGCTGGAGTTTACCTGCAGCTGTGAGCTGACGAGTGCTGGGAACTGAGAACTGGGTCCTCTGAACGAGAAGGAAGCACTCTTAATTGCTGAGCCATATCTCTAACCCCATTTTTTTTTTTTTTTTTTTTCTACTTTAGACCAGTTTTCATGTTGCCCAGGTTGGCTTCAAACTGCTAATCCTCTAGCCTCCACCTCTCGAATGCTGGGATTACAGGCATGCCAGTTATGCCTGATGTAATGAATGCCAGGGATCAAATCCAGGGTTTTGCACATGCTAGGCAAGCATCCTATCAACCAACTGATCCACCTCCTTGGCCCATTATCCTCTCATTTTCAAGGCACTATTTAAAAAGCAGTGTGTTTAAGTAATTCCATTTGGTATTAGGGGTAGTAATTCTTGGGGACATTTTGTGAAGGCTGGGGATACCTCAGTGTGGT